GCAGCACAAATCACTGCCTCCTTCTTGCGTGCGCTGGGCTGGGCTGGAGGTTTTGGGGAGGAAAACTGCGTTTTACCCCCTTCAGCTTCATCCCATCTTAACTCGCAGGTGAAAGCAAACAGGGGAAACTGAGGCACGGTCTTGTCCCAGAGCATGCAGGGAAGGGAAATGAAACTCTTGGCTTTGCCCACACCCGGGGGAAGCTCCTTGTCCCTACAGCTGATTTCCTGGGATAAGCCCCTGGAAGCGGCTGTGCCAGGAGTCAGCTCTGGGAGATCCCTGCAGGATCCATCCTTGTCCTTCTGATTGTCCCCTGGCTCTCGGAGCTGCTCTGGCCACGCTATGGCACAGGGGGAGCACATGTGGGTGATGTGGGACTGGAGCCTTAAACCGGGCTGGAAACTAGAGTGGGCTCAAGGGTGTTCTTTGCACTCAGGGGGTCCTGGTGCAGCGGAAAGGCTCTGGAGCTCTGGGCCGTCCTTCCTCCGTGCCAGGAGCACGTTTCCATCTCGCTTCCCACACATTTAACCTGTGGAGCTCACATGATGAGCTCAGCTTGTGCCAGGTTTCCCCCGTCTCCATTGGCTTGTCTCTGGGAGCCCGGCTGCTCAGTGCCCTGCTACGGACCAGTCTGTGACTGGTTTTAATGGGAGCCTGTTGGGTGCTCTCTGCTTCTGTCCAGGGGAGCATCCCCGCATCTAGAGGGAAAGGGGAGGTGGGAGAACCAGCAATGCTCCCACATGGATGGATGTTTGATGGGGACCAAATGGGCTGGAAGCTGTTTCCAAAGGGAAACCATGGCTTATCCCTTCATAAGGTTATTTTTGGTGTTCTCTTGCAGGGCTTAGCCCCTAGAGCACAACACAAGTGGGGTTTCTGTAGGGTCCCTGTCTTGTGTCAGTGTGGGGCTGGCAGCATCCCCCCTCCCAGCCAGAGCTTCCACCCCAGCCAGCCCCAAGGGGGGAATGTCCCGGCTCCATTCCCTGTGCTGCTGGGATCTGAGGTGTTGAGGGAGGGGTTGCTCATCCTCAGCAGCTCTGCTGGGAATGGATTTGCCTTTCCCAAGCAGATCCCCAGCCCAATTGGAAGCAGAGGGATGGGATCTCAGTGTGTGTGTGGTGGAATGAACCCGGGCCAGCCAGGCTGGAGTTCCACCAGGACATGAGGAGAGGAGCACGCTGCAGGATCAGGCAGACCTCTGTGCCCCATGAAGCACCCACTGCTCTCCTGTTCCTTGCTGCGTGTTATCCTGTTCCCTGGGAGGCCAGGCTCACAGGGGGGCAGGAGGTCCAGGATGGGGATGGGGATGTGGATGTGGATGAGGATGTGGATGTGGATGTTGATGTTGATGGGGATGTGGATGTTGATGGGGATGTGGATGTGGATGTGGATGGGGATGTGGATGTGGATGTGGATGTTGATGGGGATGTGGATGAGGATGTGGATGTGGATGGGGATGGGGACGTGGATGGGGATGTGGATGTGGATGTGGATGAGGATGTGGATGAGGATGGGGATGGGGATGTGGATGGGGATGTGGATGTTGATGGGGATGTGGATGAGGATGTGGATGTTGATGGGGATGGGGATGTGGATGTGGATGGGGATGGGGATGAGGATGGGGATGTGGATGTGGATGTGGATGGGGATGAGGATGGGGATGAGGATGGGGATGTGGATGGGGATGTGGATGTGGATGTGGATGTGGATGGGGATGAGGATGGGGATGAGGATGTGGATGTGGATGGGGATGTGGATGATGTGGATGTGGACGTGGGCTCCGCGTGCCTCCCGTGCAGTGGAGCCACCTGCCCAGCAGAGGGAGCCTGGAGCTCACACTTGGCTCCGCACCCGCAGGCGGTCGCTCAGGCATGCGGAGCCTCAGCCGCGGTGCGGAGCTCAGCCTGCCCCGGCCCGTCTGCTGGCTCCAGTGCAGACGGGAGCGTGTCCCTGGGGAGCCTCCCGGCCCCACAGCATCAGCCCCTGCTCTCAGCACCCGGGTTTGGCTGTCCCTGAGCTTTGGCTCGCAATGAGCCACGTCCTGGCCGTCTGATGGCTCCTTTCGCCACGCTTGGGCTGAGGCTTCAATCCTTGGCTCCAGACAGGGGTTGAGATCATGTTTGGGAAGCCTCTTGCAGTTGAAACTGATAGGGCTTTACCTGGAGATGGCTGTGGTTTGGCTGCATAGATAACAGGAGCTGCCTTTAGTATACCAGCCCCAGTAGCAGCAGCTGGGTCTGTTGGATGCTGCGCTGGCTCAGCATCCTTGCAGGGCTGTCCCCAGCAGCCCGGAGGGGGTCCTGAGATCCTGCTGCTGGTCCTGCCTGGTGTTTCTCAAGGGGACAAGGGGTGTTGGTGTCCTTCACCAGACAAAGGGAGCCAATGCAGAACTTCCCCTGGGAATTCCCCAGCTTTAGGGCTGGCTGTGTCCCTGCTGTAAGAAATTGGTCCTGGTCATTCAGGGCTTATGGGTAGTGTGATGGAGGGGGAGGGATGGGTGCATGGGCAGGTCCTGGAGCAATAGGACTGTCTCAGGCATAGCTCAGGCCCCATCAATGGAATGCAGAAGTTGTTCTGTGTTGCCCTGGTAGGATGTGGCTTGGTTCTCACTTTCCAGTTGCCAGTGGGGAAACTGAGGCACGGAGCAGAGAAGTGACTGAGACAGTGAAATAGTGACTTGGGTCTTTCTCTCCTGGGCCCTACAACAGTGAACAAGACCCCAGGGGTCCAGCTCCTAATGCCCTGCTCAGGCCCCAGGGCTCTCTCCCATTGCTTTGGGTGGTGAAAGCTCAGAAGCAGCAACGAGAGGGATGATACCCACAAGGCTGTGGCAGGGAAGGAAACCAGCTAAAATCTCTCTTCTTGCAGGCCCAGGCTGGTGCTGAGCCCGTGCCCATCCCATCCAGCCTGGCTGCAGACCCCTCTCTGACCGCCCTTGTTCACTCAATGGAACATTGAGAGCTCCCAAACCCCCCGTTCCGCTCCGGTTTCATTCTGGACAACACCCGCGCTGTGCTCCTGCTCTTCCCCTCTGCTGCAGCGCCGGGGCTGTGCAGAGCAGTGCTGGGCCTCACACACCCCGCGGGTGTCCCTCAGCCAAGCACAGCCCCGCGGTGTCCCCGCAGCCAGGATGCGGAACGGGCTGTGTGGGGAGCTGCCTGCAGGGGCAGCTCTGCGCTAAGCGCTGCGCGCTGGGCTGGGTGGGCGGGTGTGACCGGAGCGCAATCACTGCTCCATCAGTCACTGCTCCATCAATCACTGCTTCATCACTGCTTCATCAATCACTGTTCCATCACTGCTCCATCACTGCTCCATCAATCACTGCTCCATCACTGCTCCATCAATCACTGTTCCATCACTGCTCCATCACTGCTCAATCTCTGCTCCATCACTGCTCAATCACTGCTCCGTCAATCACTGCTCAATCACTGCTCCATCACTGCTCAATCACTGCTCAATCAATCACTGCTCAATCTCTGCTCCATCACTGCTCCATCAATCACTGCTCCATCAGTGCTCCATCAGTGCTCTGTCACTGCTCAGTCACTGCTCCATCACTGCTCAGTCACTGCTCCCTCACTGCTCAGTCACTGCTCAATCAGTCACTGCTCCCTAACTGCTCAGTCACTGCTCCCTCACTGCTCAGTCACTGCTCCATCACTGCTCAGTCACTGCTCAATCAATCACTGCTCCATCACTGCTCAGTCACTGCTCTATCACTGCTCAGTCACTGCTCAATCAATCACTGCTCCCTCACTGCTCAGTCACTGCTCCATCACTGCTCAGTCACTGCTCAATCAATCACTGCTCCATCACTGCTCCATCACTGCTCAGTCACTGCTCTATCACTGCTCAATCACTGCTCCATCAATCACTGCTCCATCACTGCTCCCCTTGTCCAGTGAGAAATCAGGTTTAATGTGTGGCTAGCAAACAGAGCGGAGAAAGATGCTCCCCATCCTGGGTCCTTGAGGGCTTTGACTGTTTTGGATCTCCCATAAGTCATAGAATCATGAAATGGTTTGTGTTGGAAGGGACCAGCTCCAATCCCCTGCTATGGGCAGGGACCCCTTCCACTGGAGCAGGGTGCTCCAAGCCCCATCCAGCCTGGCCTTGAACACTGCCAGGGCTGGGGCAGCCACAGCTTCTCTGGGCACCCTGTGCCAGCGCCTCAGCTCCCTCCCAGGGAAGAGCTTCTGCCTAAGAGCTCATCTCAGTCTGCCCTCGGGCAGGTTCAAGCCATTCCCCTTGGCCTGTCCCTACAGGCCCTTGTCCAAAGCCCCTGTCCGGGTTTCTTGTAGCCCCTTGGAATTGGGTGAGCTGTAAGGTCCTTTTCCCCCCCAAACCATTCCGTGATTCAGTGATTTTGGTGCAGAGTTTAGCCAGAGCCCTCAGCTGAGACTGGGGAAGGAGCTGCTCTTTCACATGGGATGTAGGAAGAAATTAGGACACCACCAGTGCAGTGGGTTGTGTGTGACACTCTGTTTATTGTACCAGCCATGGCCCCGTGCTGTGGGTACAGGGGTGCTGCAGAGGCATCTGTCCTGCAGCAACGTGCAATCACTGCGATGCGCTCAACGGAGACGTGCCAAGAGGCTGTTGGCAACTGCCTGGGAGCTCAGAGCTGGGGACTGGAGTGGTGCTGCTGGCAGTGGCTGGGGCCAGAGCCTGGCCTCCCAAAGCAGGACAGTGCATCCCGAAGCAGGACGGGGCAGGGCATGGTGTGGATGTGCAAGAGGGTGATGGGAATGTGTGTCTGAGGCCGGAGCATCCCCCCTGCTGTGCTCACAGGGGACGTGGCACCCACAGAGCTGGCTCTAGTAGCTGTGGTGTGGCATGACCGGTGTCAGGCAGGTAAGGGACGAGCTCCTGTGTGAGTTCAGTAACTACAAAGCCAAGTCCTGCTTGTTGTAGTTAAATGGGAGCCAATGCCCTTGTTTCTAGGACCTACCCCCACTGTGTGTGGAGTGCATTGCTGTGAGACAGGGGGAGATGCTGTTAGAGAGAGGTGTCTTATGAAACTAAAAGGTTCGAGGAGCTTTAGCTTTGGTGGCATGGGGAGGAGTGAGAGGCCACCCCAAAGGCAGTATAACCACTTAAATGCTGCGGCCAAGCATCCCTCAGTGCAACCAGCGTGTTTGTCACCAATTCTGCAAATCCAAGTATCACATACCCATGGCTCAGGCTGTTCGCCTGCATCTCCCCATCAGCTGATGGGGAAAGCCCAAAGCTGCCTTCCTCTGAAAGCCACCTCCCTGAACACCTCAGACACACACAGGGCAGGGCTGGAGCAGGCAGAAGGATTTAGGGATGCTGGTAGAATGGCTGGGCTGGTGGCGGCTGGGTTACAAGCTGCTGTGAGAATACTTCCCCCTCCTGCCAAGTGTCCGATAGGCACATCCCAAAGGCTGTGAGTGCAGATCCTCTGGGGTGACACACCTGGAGAGGAGGATGGCGGTGGGAGTGTCTGAATGGGGGAGTCTTTCAAATCCTGGCTTGGTTTCTGCGTGTAGGTAACAGAGATGTGAACTGGGGTGTTGGGAAGACAGTGGAGGCAGCTTGGGGTGGATTCCCATCCTCTGCCCCTCGGCTGTTGGCTTGAGTTCAGGAGAAAGTGCTTTGGCCTCGTGGGGCTCCAGGTGCCGGTGGGTGCTGTGGTAATGCGGGGGCTCTGGTTCTCCTAGGAGCACTCCTCGGTGGGCAGGGAGCTGAGCTTTGGCTGGGCACCGCTGGAGACAGCTTCTGGTGTCACTGGGTCGTCACTGTGGCTTCTGGGGGGCAGCGCCTTTGGGCTGCCTCCGTTTGCCTTCATCTCCCCGTTGGTGCTGCCTGCTTTTCTTGCAAAGAGCTTGGAGTTTCTCAGGGTGCTGGCAGAGACTGCAGGGGGGTGGAGGGGGGGGAAAGGAAGAGAGGGGTCAGAAACCTTTCATCCCCCCTCGGCTTTCCCAGGCTGTGGGGATAAAACCACTTACGGTGCTTTGGTCTGGAGTGGACGCTGCTGATGACTGTGGGTATCGGTTGCTCCATGCTGTGAATGCAAGGACAGAGTGTGAGGACACATTGACAGTGCCACAGAGGTAAAGAGGATGGGAGTGTGGCCCCCGTGAGCCTTAGGTGTCACTCAGCTGCATCTGGGCAAAGCACCATGTAGAGAGGTGCTGGGACCCTCCAGTGTGTGTGTGGGGGGGGTCTAAGAAAAACTTTAGGGCCAGGAATAGGGCTGAACTCTATGGGGACTGCTGGGATTTGTTCTTTTGTTGATCAAACCTTCAATACCAGCCTCAAAGCTTGGGATGGCTGCTTTCTCCCTACGTGTTTGGGTGCATCCCTTCCTCTCCTCAGGCACAAAGAAGCCCAGCTTACCTGCTCTCCTCCCCTTCCATCAGCTTCCTGTAAGTTAGGATCTCCACATCCAGTGCTAGCTTGATGTTCATCAGCTCCTGATACTCCTTCACCAGATGAGCCATGTCCTCCTTGCTCTTCTGTAGGGCTTCTTCTAGCTTGACCAGTTTGGCTTTGGCATCCTTGAGGGCCATCTCGCCATGCTCTCCCGCTTCTTTGATGTGCTCCTCTAAGTAAAGGCACTGGTTCCGTGAAGGAAAGGGTTGGGAAGTGTTAGGTGTGTTGGAGTTTGACCTGTGCACCAGTCCTGTCACCCAGCCCAGGCCATACCTGGCTCTTTTGGGACACGATGCAGGACCTCAGCTTCTGGATCTGGATGTTCAGGTCTGCGATCTCCCGGCGGCTGTCCAGGAGGTGACCCCCGTAGGTGCCTGACTGGATGCTGCCTTCGTTCAGCTGCAGGTGTTTTGGAATGGGGGGGGGGTTATCTCCTGTGCTCTACCAAAGGGGTCTGCAAGGTTCCCACTGCTCATACGGAGAAGCACCCAATGGGGTTTGGGAAAGATGTGGGGCTGTTCTCTCCTGTTCTGGCTGGAGCTGGGCCAGGTCGCACACACTGTCTCTTATTAGGGTTAATCACATTCCTGCTCTGTTTGGAGGAGGCATCACTGGAATGTCATTTGCATCTTAGGTGGGACAAGCTGCCACTGGGAGATGTCCCTGCCTTTTCCCACTGACAGCATGGGCAGCCCAGAGCAATGAAACTGCCAATTTACACACCCGAGTGAGGAGGAGTTGGTCTGGATGAGCACCGGGTCCCTCCCTCCAACCCAGCTTTGCTCTGTCCCTCCACAGCTTGCTGATCCCTGTAGTTTCGAGGCTGCTCTCCCTCCCTCTTCTCTCCTCACCTCTCCCCAGTACCCATCAGATAAGGAGCCAGATACCTTTCTCCTGGTGAGTGCTTCAGCCTCCTCCCAGCTCCGAAGAGCCAGAGCCTCATACTGGGCCCTCACTTCTTCCACAATCCTGCTCAGGTCCAGCTTGCACGCGTTGTCAATTCCCAGGACAACAGAGATGTCCTTGATTTCTGTCAGCAGCTCCTCCAGTTCCTGAATAGCAAAGAGAGAATGGGGCTGAGATGCCAGGTAGCCAACACAGTGAGCAGGAGAGAGCTGGACCCTGACTGAGCTGCTCTGTGTAGCTTGGGAAAGCATCCTCCATATGCAGTGTGGAGGGGGGGAGATTCCCAGGCTTTGGAAGCTGCTGTTGCTTCATCCAGGGAACCCAGACTCAGGTTTGGGACCTTTGGGTACAACCTGTTAAAGAGTCTGACAAAACTCATCGGTACTGGATGCAGGGCAGGGTAATTGAACTGATGGAATCATGGAATGCTTTGGGTTGGAAGGGACTTTAAGATCATCCAGCTCCAATCTCTGCCACGGTCAGGGACCCCTTCCACTGGAGCAGCTTGCTCCAAGTCCCTGTGTCCAACCTGGCCAGGGATGGGCATCCAAATCTTCTCCATTCAACCCATTCCAGTGTCCCAGAACCCTCACAGGGAAGAGCTTCTGCCTTATCTCCAACCTGAACTCCCCCTGTTCCAGTCTGAACCCATCAACCCCTTGTCCCATCGTTCCAGCCCCTGATGCAGGTCCCTCTCCAGCATCCTCATAGCCCCCTTCAGCCACTGGAAGCTGCTCTGAGGTCCCCACGCAGCTTCTCTGCTCCAGCCCCAATGTTCTCAGCCTGGCTCCTATGGGAGCTGCTCCAACCCCTGAGCATCCCCGTGGCCTGCTCTTAAGAGGAGGATGTTGGTTTGCATCCCCCTTGTTGCTCCAACAGCTCCATGTCCTTATGTTGAGGACACCAGAACTGCACCTAGTGCTTCAAGTGGGGGCTCAGCAGAGCAGGGGGGTGATCGTGCTGCAGTATCTGCCAGTGCTCAGGGAGTGGGCACTGTGTCTTGGGCAAGAGCTAGGGCAGTGTGAATCACTGCAGGCTGGTGCTGCTGGAAAGGTGCCTTTGCTCAGTTCTGCTCGAGTATCTTATATAATGTATAATATTATAATAAATAATATATAATATATGTATATAATATATATCTATATATACTATATGTTTGGGTGGCATGGTTTAGTGTGAGGTATCCCTGCCCATGGCAGGGGGGTTGGAACTGGATGATCTTAAGGTCCTTTCCAACCCTAACTATTCCATGGTTCTATGGCTCTGTCTGCGAGGCTGTGCCTGCCGCTTGTGTTGTTAGAGTCTGCTTTGTGTCTTGTTAGAGCAGGGGCAATGAGGACCCTGCTCTGAGCCCATCCATCACTAGCAAACCTATTCCACTGCCCAGAGCTGCTCGCGTGTGCTGGGGGAGCTCGACCCAGCACGGGGGAGGCAGGAATGTGCACGCACAAGCTGCAGCATCACTGACAGGGGTATTTGCTCTTGATAGCTGGAGCCAAACAATGCTGAATGCAGACTGCCCTCAGTGAACCTGGAAAGGACCCTTAATCCCTGCCCTCCTGGGTGGTTTGTATCCAGGCAAGACGTGACTGGCTGTTGAGCAGAGCGGGGACACAGGCACCCGGCAGCGATGTCCCTGTTATCTCTGCAGTGCTTCTGATGTGCACAGGGTTGAAAGGGAGCGGCCCGGCTCCCTGCTCAGCTCTTCCCTTTCATCTTAATGGGTTTGTTCTTCCCTTTTGTGCCGAGGGCTCTGATCTTCAACAGAGGTATTTGTATTCCTTGCTTACCTGGCCTTCCCCTGGCTGGGGAAACAAAGGGCACCCTGACACGGTGATTCATGAATAACAGGGAAATACCCCCTCACTCTTCCCAGGAGCAGGATGAGGGGAGACTTCCCCACTGGTGTTCAATCCTTGAGCCTCTTTGTTAATCCCGGAGCACGTCAGTAGTGTATGAGAAGATGCACGTTTATTGCAAGTATTGAGCATCCTCTGGCAGGGGAAGAAGAGAACCTGGTGGGTTCTTAATGGGGTTCCTACCAACACGCTGTGGGCAAGGCTGCTCAGAAGGGCTTCTCTTTTTTGCCCTTCCAGTGTGTGCCTGTACATTGATGTCAGTCCCATCAACAGGCACAGGGGAGCAAACGACCTGAAAACAAAGCTATGGAGAGGAGAGAGCAGAGGGATTTTCCTTTCAGGAAGCAGGGATGCAGGTCCTGGGGCCTCTCCGTGCCTCAGTTTCCACACGAGGAATGCGAATATTCCTCTGCCAAGCGTTTGAATTGTTTGTATTGGTAGAACTCAGACAAATTATGAGTGTTCCCAGCACTGCTGAGCCTGCTTGGCCACATTCTATAGGCTCTGAGTAAGTGGCTGTAATCGCTTCTCCCTGTTTGAGGAGATAGAGGCACGCTGCAGCCTCTGCCTTGGGCTGAAGGGCTGTATCCTTCCCCCTGGTGAAACCACACCTGGCTGCACACCCCTCCTCTGAGGGGACCTGGAGTGTGTTGGGTTGTGTCTGTTAGAGGGGAGAGGTCTTGGAGCTGTGGGGCAGGAGGGCATCCTGATCCCCTTTGAAATGGAGCTGGTTATCTAAGGGAAGGGGATTCGCTCATGAGCCCCTGCCTTAAGCATCTCATGGTTGTCTGCAGCACCACACACCCTGTGTGCTCCCCGGCCACCCTCCCAGGTGCAGCTTTACCTGCTCGTAGATGGTCTTCTTCAGTTCCATCAGCTCTTGGAGCCCATTGAGTTTAACCTCCAGCTCCGTTCTGTGCAAGGTGCTCACATCCAAATCCTACAGGATGAGGGAAGGGCATTAATGGACAGCTTGAGCTTGGAGTGAGGAGCCTTTCCCACCTCTCCCCCTGTGTGTTTGTTGTGAAACCTCTCTCCTGCTCTGCGAGGAGGCTCCTTTGTGGACCTTTCCCTCTGCAGTGTCTCTGAGTGGGTGCTTGGGGGAAGCCTCAGCGGGGCAGGGTGGAGAAGGAAGCCGGCAGGGCTGGTCCCCAGCCGCTCAGCCTTGGGTCACCACAAAGAGCCCAGGTTATTGAGAGCCCTGATGCTGCCCTGCCTGGCCTGGAGTGTGCCAGGGACAACCTGCAATTAGCCACGATGCTCATCTATGGGGAGCGTTTCCTCTGCTACTGCCGCGCCGCATTCCTGCCCCTGGGGTCCGAGCTCTGACGGGAAGGCTGCGGACAAAGCCTCCCCTTCCAGCTGATGCCACTGCAGCTACTGCTGGGGCTGGATGTTTCTGCAGGGCGCGGCCATGCAGCAGGGAACAAAAGCAAACACATCCATCACTTCCCAGCCTTTCCCAACCCGTGATGTCACCCGGAGGGAAAACAGGCCAGGGAGGGGAGGTGGTGCCTTGGCAGGTCCTGGGGTGCAGACCCCACCGTGGCCAGGGCTCAGTGCAGTGTTTGGGTATGGTCCGACCCCCAAGTGCTTCCATCCCGAGCCGTGGGGCTCTTGTGGAGCCACGATGGCCCAGGCTCACTTGTTCCTTTCCTGTTGAGGTGCTGTGTTCACTATCTGCTGCCCTCCTAACCCCACCAAACACCTGGGGTCCAAAGCCTTAGTCCAGAGCCTGCCTTAGCTGTGTCTGGACCACGTTGCTTCCCCAAGCTCTTCAGTGACTACACAGAGCCGGTGTAAAGCCTGGCTGGATGGGAAGCTCCTCCTGCCACTGACCTTTTTGAGCTCCATGAAGGTGTATTCCATGCCACTGCAGAGGCGGATTTCATCCTCGTACCTAAGGAGAGTGGGAAAAGCAGTAAGGAATTGCACAGGGTGAAAGCCCTGCGATGCTTCAGGTTGTCCCGCTGGCCCCTAAAAGCATTATCAAAGCTTTCTGTGATGTCCCACCTCCCTGTGCTCCTTGTCCTTGTGTGGGCATCTTGGACAAGAGAGAGGGGAAGGACCACGAGCACTTTAAGGCTGAGGAGCCCCAGAGTAGAGAGGAGGCAGCTTTAATTCTACTGTACTTTGAGGGCACAGCAGCCTCAGGTTACCTCACTTTTGCCACAGAGAGAGGAGACAGAGGGTGGGTTGTGGTGAGGCTGCAGCCCGGACTAAAGGCTCGCAACCTTTCACCCTAAGCTGCTGCCTCCTGTTCCTATGGGGCATCCTCAGCATTTCATTTCCCAGCTCCAGGAGTCTTCTCAAGGGTGAAAAGTGCCCTGTGGGAATTGCAGGAATACTGGGTGAGTGTCATGACTGATCCCGAACGGAGTGGGAATTGTGAAGAGCGCAGGACCTGGCAAACAGTGCCCATGGAGAGGAGGGAACAAACCGGGATGGGACAGGGCAAAGCATCCATCAGAGGAACCAGCCCGCAGGTGGTTCAAACAGGGTTGATAAGGTAGGACCAGGGGAGCAAAGAGCTAGGCCAGGGGCATTTCCTGATGGCCAGCAGCAGGGATGAGGGGAGCGTAGGGAATACCCAACCCTTGGTGGCGTTGGGATGAACGTGTGGCCAGTGCTGGTGCTGCCCAGGAAGCCACAGGGTCTCATTGGGGCCTGGTGGTGACCAGGTTGGTTCCTTTGCCATCCGGCAGCATGTACAATGGGGTTTGGTGTCTCCCATGGATATGTTTGGGGAGCGTTGGCTCTTTGGCCAAGGCCAGGGCAGGTCCCGGCTCTTCCATGAGACCTCAGGCTCCTTTTAGCCTGATGCGCACGTGGAGTTTCCAGGCTGTGAGTGAAAGCTCTCAGTGTCACCAAATGGATCTGGGGAAAGCTGAGTCCTTTGGGAACGAGGTAAAATGGCAGCTCCTAACAGGGGGATGGTGAGAAAATGGGGAATGACTATGGAATGACAGCCATGGTCTGTTCTTCGGTTCATTCCAGTTCCTCCCAAACTGCCGTATGAACCTTTAGGAGAAAGAGGAGCAGAAAGAGGAGAAGGTGTTGGGAATGCAGCACAGGGAACCTCAGCAAAGGGCAGGGGGGAAGTCCTGCTCAGGAGCTGACCTGAAACAGGAAAACCAGCTCCCTGGAGCTGTTGCATCCTTGACAGGGGGGACGTGGCAATCACAGGCTCTACACTTAGGCTCTTCTAAGGTTCCTCTTGAGCACATACCCCCTTGGTGTTAAGCCCAGCCTCTCTCTTGCCTGCTTTGCTAAGCCAGGAGCACGGCCAACAAGATTTACCTGTCTGGTTTCCCTGCTCCGAGCCGGAATGTGAGCAGCTCCGTACCCAGCTTAATTACAGCCTGCCACTTGCCCTTCATCCTCACTGCACCTCAGCCCAATCCCGGTGCGTCCCAGCCTGCCGGAGCAGCCTCCCGCATTGCTGGGCACTGACATCATCCTGTGCGTCGGACAAACACAGCTCCTGCCTGAAAGGGAGCAAGCCCAGCCAGCCAAACACGCTCCCCGCACGGCTCCGGCTCCGGAGGGACCCGGCGGCCGGGCCCTGACTCACATGGGGATGGAGCATAAGGATTAAATCCATCCCATCTCCATTGGTGCACCTGAGACGGGCGTCTGGGCGCCTTGGGGGCCATCCGTAGGGCAGGGAAGCAAAAGCAGAGGGGAAGCAGCTCTCAAGCAGGCTGTGTTCCTCTCTGTGTGTGCCTTCAAGACGACTTCAGGGTGAAGCTTCAGCGGTGGGATGTGGATCTGAGCCTCGTGGCATGAAATGAAGGCAGTTTTCCCCTTGTGGAATGAGGAAATGGGGCAGGAAGTAGCTGGAAACCACCTTTAAGTTGAGGGGTTCTGTCTGGTCTTCATGTCCAAGGTCTGACCAGCGCAACCCCTGGGTCTGAGACACGGACCCTTCAATGTCTGTGTGCCCCAGTGTCTCCCCAGTGCCACACCAGAGGCACCAGTTCCCTGCTTCTCATTCAGGTGGGTCTTTGCGTGTGCGAATCACACGCGTTGAGCTCCCACACGTGTGCAGGTGTGCATCTCTGGGCAGTCATGCGTATGCAGGTCCATTCAGGATCTGAGTTTTAGCTTGACTCCCTAAAGAAGCAGGGGTATTGACCATGTGCAGCCTCCAACCCACTTTCCTCTCCCCTCTCCTTCCTCTCTGCGTTTGGAATTGCTCCCAGTGGCAACCTGGTTTGGAAGGAGCTGCACGCATCCCAGCTCGCTCCATCTCCTGGGTGGGCTTTGGAAAGCAGCCCCTGGGGAGAGAAGATGAACGAGGGCCTGCAGAGGGGCACCGAGAGGCCCATTTCACATCTGGAGGCATCTGCTGGGCAGGAGCCTGCTGGAGTGGTCATGGAGCGTTCCTTCGGGAGCTCCGCAGCTTGGGTGAGAACATCCCCAGTTTCCTTTCCCACTGGAGTCACGGAGTTTTTCCTCCCCATCGACAACTTTCCCTTGGGAAAAGAAACCCTCGGAGGAGCTGGGAGCCTCCAAAATTTGCATGGTTTAAGCAGACCATTTGCTCCAGAAAAACAACTGGGCTGAGGCTTCGGGAGCAGGACTCAACAGAGCCGGGCTGGGCTGGGACGGGGCTGGACGCCTGCCTGGAGGAGCTCAGCACCAGCAGCGCTCTCCTCTGAATCACTGCCTGCTGGGAGCAGGTATCACAGTCACAGGGACCCGCTGAGTTAGGTGCCCCAGCACCCAGGGACAAGGTGGGATTTACCCCTTTACCTTAGGTCCCCCCCGGCAGCTCCTGCATGGGAGGAAGCAAAAGGGAAGGCTCCACAAATGAAGGGCTTTGAGGAGCAGGGTCATTCCCGAGCACTCTTTTCCCATGTCCCAAAAGCGGGAATGCTTCTCCAGACCGATAGCTGGGCCGGTCGTAAGCCATTGTGGATTCTCTGCTGTCTAATATGGCACATGCTGCGTCCTTATCTGCTGGGTTCTGTTCCTTGAGTCAGCCTCTTTTATTAACTTCGAGGGATGGAGCATCCCTATCGTGTCTTATCCCATTGTCCAACCGAGTGGTAACTGCAAGGAATTCAAAGGGAAGGGGCAGACCCACCGCCTCTTTGTGTAAGCACCTTTATCCTTAAAGGACAGTGACTGATCCGTCATTTCTCCACCAGCCCAACCATTTTCCTGTCTGGCTTTTCCAGGGAATAAACCAAGTGCAGGGCCACAGAGCAGTTACTTCCTTAGGGAAGTGCAAGGAAGACCAAGTCTAAGCCTTTTTAGGGCAGGGAGTAAATGGCACAATCCCTGTCGTGGCTTGGGTCCAAGCTCAGGGTTGGGACCAGTCAGCAAAGCAAACAACAGCGAGCCCAAGTCTTGCAGCAAAACCAACATCCAAACAAAGAGCAGCCAGCCAGCCAGCCACCATGAGGGATTTAGGTATTTCTTGGCACCTGGGTGTGAGCGCATCACTTCTTGAAGGATGCTGAACATAATGATTTCAGCATAAGGTTAAAGGAACAGTTCCAATTGCTGCTCCACCAGCAGCTGGATCTGTGAACTCGAGACATTTAACTGCTTTGTCTCCGTCAATCCATCTGTAAAGTGGACGTATTGGTCCTTCCCCTCACTTGCAGCACATTGAGTTTAATCAAAGTCTGCAAAGGGCTTTAAATCCTTGGCCTAAACTCTCAGGGGAGGGCACCGTGAGTATTTCTGCATCACTTTGTACAGCAGGAAGGGGGTTGGATTATTCCTACAGTGATGCCTGTCCCTGCCTCACTGTCCAAACCATCCTGCTTTGACATTGCCCATCCATGGCTCTGCCCCACCTGAACGTGGAAGACTCCAGAGCTCCTGTGTAGGCAGATGGGTGGAACTGGAGGGGAAAGTCTCTCATTGTGGATTCATCTGTGGTATGCAAATGGCAGTGATAATAAGAAAAGCATTGTGCTGGTGAATGAGGCAGGGCACATCTCAAGTGCTCTTATCTGAGCATCTCCAGGCTCTTGGCAGAGCGGTGATAAGCACATGGCAGCTGATGCTCCACTCAACCTCCGGCTGCCTCAATGTGTCAAGAGGTTTTCTGGGCTGAAGTCTGACTGTTTGGTCAAAGGAGGGTTTTGCTGTCAGCGTGATGGGGCGAAGGGGGAAGGATGGGATGTTTGTGAGCACTAAATAGCATAGATCCATAAAACCATTTGGGGGAAAAGTCCTGCTTTGTGCTAACAGTAGGGAAAGAACCATTTCTGTGTTTCAGAGGCTGTCATTCCTGATAACACTGCTCCTGGCCTAAGGCATTCCTCATGCCTTGCACTCGTTGGTACTGTGCTTTTTAGGGGCTTTCCTTCATCTCTGGTTAACTGGGAAGGGGGTGGGATGCTGGCTTGGATGCACACTGCTGTGCACACCAAGCTAGGGATCGCTTGCTGGGAATGAGAGGCTGGGTTAAGTTAATCCCACACTCTGTGCCCACCAAAACCTTTAAAGCACATTCCCCCCCTCCCCCGTAATACCCAGCTGGGAGACACCTACTTGCTCCGGAAGTTATCCATGGTGCTCAGGACCTTTGTCAGCTCTGACTCCAGGTTTTCCTGCTCATAGGTGAGCGCCTTCATCTCGTGATTCATCTTGCTCATGTACTGATCGTAGATGGCCTTGATGTCTGACTCCGAGTGGGAATTGTCTTGATCCTTCAGGAAGTTCCACCTTGTCGTCAGGACCTTGTTCTGTTGCTCCAAGCACTGGACCTACAGGAGAGGGTTCGGAGATATTAGTAACACCAACAGCCAAAATCAAAGCTCCTGGCTGGGCAGGAGATATTGATCTGGAGACTTTCAGAGTAGTGAATCAGCAGGGAATCTGGGTGAGAATGAGAAAATGAGGTCTGAGGATGAGGTTCTGGGGACTTTAAGGGGTTTTACACAACACCTCCTCCTGGATTTCTTGACAGAACATGTTTGCATCAACATGAACGAGCACCTTCTATTAAATCACTGAAAAATAAGACCTGTTCAGTGACAGTCCGCTTTGCCTTGAACATGCTGAAGCAAAGGCTGAAAATCCACTCCAGGTCATGCACTGATGTCCAGGGCGAATGAAAGTCACATTTCCTACCTCGGAGTTGCCCAAGCCAAGAGAGCTCCTCTCCAATGTGCCGGATTACACCGTGGTGAAGCTTGAGCCATGAATCAGAGCCCAGGTTTGTATTGCAAAGCACCAGAGACAAGGCCTATGGGAACTGCAGAGAATAAGCAACCTAATTACAGACTCCACGTGAGGTCTGCGTGTGCCTGTCTGAGAGAGGATCCACCGGGTCCTCATCCAGCCACCGTCTGATGAAGCTGGCACTCTTGCTCGCAACGCTCACCACCTGAGCAGGGATGCTCAGGGTTTAACAGTTTTCATCTTCAAAGCTCCTGACTAACTTCAATTCATTATCTAATTGCTACCTCTCTCTCGTAATGCTCTCAACAGAGCTGAGCTCCTTCACTCACGTTCTGGCTGCTCACTGGGCCTTGCCTCCAACAGCTTCCTCCCCTGTCACGGAGGTGATTCAATGGGGATGCTGTGTCTGTGTGGTGAGCAATGGGGTGCAGATGCTATCAGGCCTGGACCTTCTGCTTTCCCTTTAACCCGTGGCACAAAGTGCACTGAAGAGGCAGCGTTCCCAGCTGCTGACACTGCACAGATGCACAGGGTGGGAGGCAGCAAACTCATGCAATGGTTGGGGCTCAAAGGACCTTAGGATCTTCTGGTTGAACAGAGAGGGAAGCAGGAGCAGAGAGCAGCCAAGCAGAGCACGAGCTCTCTGATGCTCAGTCAGTTTGCAGCTGAAAGGGATGCGAGTGTTGGGATCTTCCAGGTCTTGCTGTTAGAGATCTAGTCCTTTCTTCCTGATATCCTGAGGCATCCCACCAGCAGTCCAGTCTGCTGGCTGCCTGCTTTGTCCTGGCACGCTCTGTGTGCATGCCCGAGGCTGGGAGCCAGGGAAGGATGCTGCAGGGAAGCCAGGAAGGGGCATCACAAGTGGCACAAGTAAGCGGTCTCCAGGGCTACCAGGAGCCAATTGGGCCATTTCTTCTCTCCATCTGCAGCATCTTGTGGGGCTGGGGTCAACCTGGAGGGTTGGCTGTAGGGAACAGCTTCCCTGTTGGGCTGGTAAGTGAATGCCTTGGCTGTTGTTCCAAGTCCATCTTTGACCCTCAAATGAAGTCTGAGGTCCTGACCTTGCTCCTAATTCCTTGGCTGCTCTTTTTCTCCCTCCCCAGACTCTTCAGTCTCTTTCTTGTCGCCACACCTTGCACATCCACAGGGCTGTTACATCTTGGCTTCTTATACAGCATCCCTCTTATCCTTGCAGAGTCTTCTGACAGGAGCTTTGCAGCAGCAGAATCACCCAGACCTCGCCTCATTGCCTGGAAAGGGATGCCTGAGTATAGAAATAGTGACCAGAGCTTGGTCCTCAGAGCCTCTGTGCTGCTCAGGGCTTCAAACAGGGGCTCCGTGACTTGGCTTTTCCTTGTCTTCTACCTGCACGTATCCAGATGGGAAATAAACACCAGGAGGTCTGGAGCATCCTGCTGGAAAACCATCAGCAGCAAACTCCCAAAGTCAGTGTGAGGTCAGTGACCTGAGGACCATCTAATTCCAAAGACACATTGTCTTCGAGGAGGAAGTGCCATTCCTTTCCTCTGGAATGAGGGCCTGAGGCAGAAGGCTGGAGTTTACCTCTTGATGTACCCCTTGAAGCTACAGCCTTCCAAGCTGCCAGCAGGAGCTGCCAGCCCTAAAATCAAAGCCACCCAGCTGAGGTGGAGTGTTAGCATCTTCTGTCCATCATGCTCTGTGATGCACGCTTACTGCAGGCCATCAGACCGGGTTTATCAGGGAAGCTGGAGGCTCTCTCCCTCCTTCCATCCCTATTTGCACGGGACAGGCTCGTGCCTGTGGTCTGCCTCATGTACAGGTTGTGCCATGCCCCTACCCCTGTCCTTTCTGCTGAGGGCTGGTTTCTGAGCAGGGTTAACATCCACACAAGCCCTGCTCTGGAGAGCCAAAGGACCAGCCCTGCAGCACGTACAACACAACCAGGGGGCTGCCGTGCCCCTCCATACAGAGGCAGCCGCCTGGTACCCTCTCTGCGCACACGGAGCCATGGCTAGCTCACTGTGGGGAGATGCTGGTGGAGATGCTCCCCCCGGCCCAGTGTGAATTCAGGTCCTCCACGAGGTAAACCCAAGCCATATAAAAGGGAAGGCAAGGCATGGCAGCTTGGCACCGAGGGCCCGCGTTGTGGGGCGCAGTGAAGCAATCCTGCCGGGAGATTACCATCTGTTTACAGAGCACCAGGGCTCTGCACGAACCTGCCTCGGCTCGATGAGCTGTTCTCCTCGGAGAAACCCTTCTGCCTCCTCATGCATCTGCAGAGATGAAAGTGGCACTTTCCTGGCTGAGGAGCCACAGAGCAGGGAGCTGGTGGGGAGGGTTCTCCCTTGTGCAGCCGCCTTGCTTTGGGGGTGAGGTTCCACCTCTCTTGAGCCCTTCATCAGCATCACTGCCCGTGGCTGTTTGGCCACTCTGGGAGCCAAGGCCTGCTCCGTGGCCCTGGGGCTGGTGCTTAGGCAGGGTTGGGACCCTGAGGGCAGAGCTCTCCAGGGACCCTCAGGGTGATGGGTGCAGCAAAGGGGATGCTGCTGGCGCCCCTTCACCAGGAGATGATGCTGGCCCTTGGTAAAGCAGATAGCACTGAAGGAATAGCTAATTAGTCAATTAGGGTGATATTCAGAGCCTGGCAATACTTAGCTGAAGGCCTGGCTAAGTCTCATGAGAGACTGGTTAGTGTCTGCTTCCCCCCCACCACCCTGGTCCCTGGGTTGCGCCGTGGTCCCCAGTAGCTCACCTTACCTTCTCAATGAGGGTCACAAACTGGTTGTTGAGCGACTTGATGTCCTCTTTCTCCTGCTGCCGCATGGCTTGGAAGTCCGTGTCGATGTCGAGGTGCACGGGGGCCAGAAGTCTCCCATCGATGGAGAAGGAGGAGTAAGAGGAGCATCTGTATCCACCGTCCCTGTAGCCATTGCTGGCCAAGCCATTGGGGCTGCAGCGGCCCAGGCGATCCGGGGATGTGCCTCCTGCTTTCCCTGACAGCTCCCAGGAGGAGAGGGAGCCGCTGCTGAAGGCTGTGCAGGGGTTGGTCATGGCTCAGCTCGAGGGAAGGGGAAGGGAGGGATGAAGAGGAGATGAAGCTTTGCTGCTGCCGCCGCACAGGGAAGCAGAGCAGTGGCACGCCGAGGAGTTTGGCCGGCGTAATTCCCGTCTCCTCGGCTCGTGGGTTGGCTAATGAATTCCAGGCACCTGTTCTCCTATGTTCATTAAGCGGAGGAGGGTGTAACCGTTGATGTAATCCAGATCAACCTGTTGGCTTCTTTTTCCTCCCTTCCCCTCCTCTGTCTGTACCCTCCTTCCTTCGGGAGCTTGTTTGTGTGGTGAGGGCACAGGCAGCACCGACAAATCACTCGCCCGTAATTCGCTGGGCCCCGAGCGCCGGCTTCCCGCAGCCTTACATGGTGAGGAGAGCACCCCAAGGCGCCGCGGGCGTGCGGGCAGGACGGCTCCGAGCGCGGCTGCTCGCTGCTGCTTGGCACCTGGAGCCTGAGCTCAGCCCCTGGCTGCTGTCCAGCCTCCATGTGCAGTGAGGAGCCGCGATTTCGGGGCTTGTTACCGGTGCTTTTGGCAGGGATGCGTTTGAAATCACAGCGTCTGCGCTGGCTGAGGCTGGGAGCGGTGGTCGTGGTCTGCCTCTGAGCACACGGGCGCATCGCGGGCGGGTTTGATGCTCTGGGTGGTTTAGGGATGGTGGATCTGCTTTTGAGACCCCCGGGTGTGGGGAGCAGGAGTCCTGAGGCTCCTCAGTCGTTTGGTCTGGCAACAGCAGAGACCTTCGGAGCCTCCAGACACCAAGCTGGAGTTCAGAAGTGTCCGAGTCCATCTTTGACTGTTCCATTCCCACTCCTCGAGAGCCCTTTAAAAGCTGGCATTGGAGACACCAAACCCCACTATCTTCTAATGAAAACACAGGGAACACACCCTTAAATACCTGCTTGGACCTCGCTGGAAATCAGTGCTGGACATGGCTCTTGAAGGCATTTTCCTGCTCGGTCTCATGTGAAAAGTCAGGACAGAAGAACTCCCACTTCTGCCTCCTTTGGGCATCGTGGTGTTCTCAGGGAAGGAGATGGTTGTCCCTGGCTGGAATCTGGAATTCCAGCTGCATGGGAAAGCTGCTGCTTGATGGTGTGGTTCTGCCCCAGACCAACTGGGAATTTCCCTGCCAAGTGCAGTGGCACAGACCTGCTTCAACAAGAAACGTGTCAGATGGGGCAGTAGGTTTTGTCTTCAGAGGGCCTTCAGAAGGAAGATGACCCCTTCCAGCGGGGTTAACCTCTTCAAGCCTAGTGTGCTTCAATGGCACGTCCGTCTTCCCCAAACACCTTTCCAGGGAAGCCCTCTCCTGATGACCCATTTGAATACCACATCTGTCCCTCAATGTCCATGTCAGGAGTTTCCAGGTTGTTTCCAGGATGAACCCAAACCCTATGGCTGGGATCTGGTGAAAGCCAGGGCTCCTGCAGGCGGAGGTGAGAGCATCCGTGTCCCCGTGGGCTGCTCGCCTGTGGCTTTGCGGCTGCAGGCACATCAGTGTTCCTGATTAGCATCAGGTCATGGGGTCACCTGGCAGGTTCTGTGCTTCAGCTGGGGCTGAGGGCACTGGGGATGGCTCCCCGGGAAGGATCCCTCTGAGGGAAGGAGATGGAGGTGGAATTGCACTGGTTCCGTTTCCTGGCGGCTGGAGCAGAGCCCCGCGCCGAGTGGGGTGGGATGGTGCAGGATAAGATGTTGGAAGATGCCAGGAAGCTCTGCCGCAGGGAAAGCACTGCTGGTCACTGCATCTGCAGCCACATCTGCCCCAGCATCACTCCTGCTCCTTTCTCTTGTAGGTATCCATTCTTCCTCTTCTCCTTTCCCTCCCCACCCCTTGAAATGGATGTCTAACACAGGATCCAGCCCAGTTTGGCTGAAATGGCATCTCCCGGTGCAAAATGGCACAAAACCTCTCCAGATGTAATTGTAACACTTCTCTTGATGCCTTTTGAGTCCCGGTTCCTGCCCAGCATTGTGTACTACACCTCACATCCTGTCTATTATCCTGTCTGGTGTCCTCAACATAAGAAGGATGTGGAGCTGTTGGGTGCAGGTCCAGAGACCATGATCAGGGGCTGAGAACATTGGGGCTGTTTAGGCTGGAGCAGAGAAGCTACACGGAGACCTTAGAGCAGCTTCTGTGGCTGAAGGGGGCTACAAGGATGCTGGAGAGCGACCTGCATCAGGGGCTGGAGCGATGGGACAAGGGGTGATGGCTTCAGACTGGAACAGGGGGAGTTCAGGTTGGAGATAAGGGAGAAGCTCTTCCCTGTGAGGGTGCTGAGGCGCTGGCACAGGGTGCCCAGAGAAGCTGTGGCTGCCCCATCCCTGGCAGTGTTCAAGGCCAGGTTGGACACAGGGGCTTGGAGCACCCTGCTCTAGTGGAAGGGGTCCTTGCCCGTGGCAGGGGGTTGGAGCTGGAAAAGCTTTAAGGTCCCTTCCAACACAAACCATTCCATGATTCTATGATCAGATGCTGGAGGTTCTGCCCTAGAAAGACACAGAAGGATGATGGTTTAGGGTTAAAGCTGTCTTTAATGCTTGGGAATGGAGGGTGAAAAGCCATTTTTCAGTGGGAGCACTGGTACCGCTCTACTCGGAGATGAGCAAGGCTTTTCAAAGTCCTGCTCCTTCCAGCAGGATGGGTATCATTTGCAATACCTCTAAGGAAGGTGTTTGAAGTGGTCATCTCTGCTGGCACAGGTGAGGATGTGTGGGAAGAGCTTGCAGAGAGCATTAACCTGCTTCAGCCTTTCTAAATGCCAAGGCTGAAGCTCCTCTTGTCCCACAGAGGGAGAGATGTGATCCAGGGGGATTCCACGGGCACCCTAATTCCAGTCTAGCCAGGGCATTACTTCATGGCTATGGCCAACAGCTTGATGCTGACATGATACAGCTGCAGAAACCCATCAGCCCAAGCTGTCTTCTCAAGGATGGGGAAGGGAAGGCTGCTGGACACGGTGGCAGCCAAAGCCTTGCTGCATGTTTCTCTCCCTTGCTGTCTTCCCTGCCCTATGGGAGAGGCCGTGCTGAGTCAGGACGTTTCTTCCCTTCCTGCTGATGTTCTCGATGCTCCTCCTCGACCAGGTATTTGGTTCAGTGTGGAATGGGCTGCTCTCCAAAATCAGGCTTTGCCATTCGGCGCCGGCCTTCTTGGCCACGCAGCAAAAACAAGCTCAGGAAGGACGGGGACAAGAGGAGGGTGGCAACAAGGTGGAGAAGGCTCTGGAGGGTGTGAGGGAGGCTCCAGTCACCTCCAGCTGCGCTGCTGTGTCCTCCTGCTCCCCCAGAGTTGCTGCCTGTGTCCTTGCAGCCTGGTCCAGCTTCTCTGCTGATCCATTTGGGTGAAGTCCTCCCCATCCAAAGACGCTGAATGGTCCCAGCATCTCCCATTCTGGACATGTCTGGACCAAAGCAATGCGTGGCGTTGAGTTGGCAAGTGTGGTTGCTTTGTAGGTTGAGGTTTGGGGATGGGCACAGAGGGACTTAAACCATCACAGGGTGCATTTTGGGAGACAAACCTAGGGAGTGTTGTAACCCTTCCCTTGGTACATGGAGATTTATTCCTGCCATCGGGAAAATCACCTTTTAGGGCTATTGCCTCAGCGTGTGTGTGCAGAGTAATAGATTTATCAAGCTCCCATAAGTAATTGCTGTTTATTCAGTCTGGGCAATGCATGAAGCATAAACAAGGAATCAGCATTTGCCCCAAGGAATCGAAATGATTCAGGTTAAGCAAGAGCCAGGCTGCGGGATGCAGAGAGCTGTGGGGCAGTGGCTCAGCAGGATTTGATCCTCAGCAGGCACGCGAGGAGCGGCTGGAGAGGCAGCTCTGTGTTGGTCCAAGTGACACATTGCAGGGGAATGGCTGATGCTGTGGCCACAGGTAGGACAAGGCAGGGGAGCTGCAATTCCTGGCTCCAGAGCCGGGTTCAGTCCTGCGAGTTCAATTCAGGCTTAAAACAGAGTAAGGAGAGGCTCTACTTTGTTAAATGCTTTGGGTTTCTTTTTGGCTGCTGGCCCTCATCCTGCAGCACAAGAGGCATTGACCTGCTCATGGCACAGGCTGGAGATGAGCTGGTTCTATGGGGTCCCAGAGCTGGGTTTGTGGTGAGGGGCTCTGGTTGCAGAAACGTTTCAGTTCAGCTCTTTCTCAGCCCATCTCTGCAGTGCCTGGAGGAGAAGGGAAGGTGCTGGGCTGGGCTGGAGGCAAGCCCAGGCCAGTGCTGTGGTAGGACAGCCAGGGACATGCCAGTGACCACAGGTCTGCTTGGTAATTATGACACTCATGTGGCTTCCCACTGCTCTCCCTGTGTGACCCTCCCCAGCCCTGGGGACAGCGGATGGGCACGGAGGGGAGCGCTGTAGCTGGGATCAGGGCATGGTGACAGGGGCATCCCAGAGTGGGTCTGCGTGGACCCTGGTTTGGGGGATGGATGGGGAGAGCTCTGCAGCCTTCCCCAGCTCCACTCCACCCCAGCTCTTTCCTTCTCTCACTTACTCCTCCTTCCCATGCCCACCAAATCTCTGTTTTCACTTCCTCCTTTCAATCCTGTATTGGATTGAAGCCTGCTCATCCCCATTCCCATCCCCATACTCATCCCCATCCCCACCCCAACCTCATCCTCATCCCCATCCCCATCCCCACCCCATCCCCATTCTCATCCCCACCCCATCCCCATTCTCATCCCCACCCCATCCCCATTCTCATCCCCATCCCCACCCCATCCTCATTCTCATCCCCATCCCCACCTCATCCCCATCCTCATCCTCATCCTCATCCTCATCCTCATCCCCATCCCCATCCCCATCCTCATCCCCATCCCCATCCCCACCCCATCCTCATCCCCATCCCCACCCCATCCTCATCCCCATCCCCATCTCCACCCCATCCTCATCTCCATCCCCACCCCATCCTCATCCCCATCCCCATCCCCACTCCATCCCCATCCCCATCCTCATCCCCACCCCATCCTCATCCCCATCCCAATCCCCACTCCATCCCCATCCCCATCCTCATCCCCATCCCTGTCCACATCCCCATCCCCATCCCTGTCCTCATCCCCATCCCCATCCCAATCCCCATCCCCATCCCCTTCCTCCTGCCAGCCGCATTCCCTCCTTCCTCCTTTTGGATTCCTGGGTGCCACAGCGGGTAGCTAAACCCTTCTGCTTAAATCACTTCCCAAAGCAGACGTCACTCGCAAAGAATTTACAGGAGGGTTTGGGAGGCAGGACGGGACGTGCCCACGTCGGCTTCGTGCTCAGGGAGGTTCCAGCCCATCCTCTGCGCTCCTGCTCTCGTTGTTTCCAGGAAATTCAGGTATTAGGAGAAAAGCCCTGCTAGGACTGATGGAGTGGTGGTGACAGCATCTGTCCCTGCTG